AATCGTGGAGTTAGCTCCCCCTGGCGGTGGTGCATGAACTTAACACACACACGATGCTATCTGAAAGTTGAAAGGGATCCCAGGGCTTAACTGGTTAAGACCTCTCCTTTTACAAAGGGGGAAATTAAGGCTCAGAAAGGATAAGGGCGCTGCCCAAGGCTCATAGTGGGAAGTGGCTGATGGAAGAACAGAACCCAGCTGTCTGTCAGGACACCACCACACTCGGTTTTGAGCAGAAAGCAGCCAGAACTGTTTACTTTTATACTTCCCTATACTCTCATCCTACTCTAAAAGTACTCCAATAGTGGGGCGCCTGGGTGGCGCAGTCGGTTGAGCGTCCGACTTCAGCCAGGTCACGATCTCGCGGTCCGTGAGTTCGAGCCCCGCGTCGGGCTCTGGGCTGATGGCTCAGAGCCTGGAGCCTGTTTCCGATTCTGTGTCTCCCTCTCTCTCTGCCCCTCGCCCGTTCATGCTCTGTCTCTCTCTGTCCCAAAAATAAATAAATGTTGAAAAAAAAATTAAAAAAAAAAAATAAAAGTACTCCAATAAGGGAAAAGAGTGAATTACAAATAGAAATGAATAGTATAATGAGCCATAATCACTTAAGATTCTTCTTGCATAATAATCGAAGCAAAACACCCCACAATACCTGTACACAGTAAAGATAGGAAAATACCCCCCCACCCTCCCCCACCCTAACTTCCAGCCTTTTAGAGACCTTTTATCTGTAGCTTTTTTAATGTTTTATTTATCTTTTGGGCATGGGGGGGCGGAGCTCGAGTTGGGGAGGGGTAGAGAGAGAAGGGGACAGAGGATCTGAAGCAGGCTCTGGGCTAACAGCAGCGATGTGGGCTCGAACTCATGAACTGTGAGATCATGACCTGAGCTGAAGTCGGAGGCTCAACCAACTGAGCCACCCAGGTGCTCCTATATGTACCATTTTAATATCAACCGGTCAAATTCTTGGACTGAACTCAGAATTGGGTTGCTGTGAATATAAGCAAACATATCAAGAGCACAGATGCTGGGTCCACCTCAGACCCGCCTACCCCCCTCAGGGTGTGGGCCTAGCCCCTCTATTTTCACTGCTCCCTAGGTACCTCGCCTACTTGGCAGACTTGGGAATCACGGTCGTAGGGAGCCTGTAACTGTTCCTGAGGCACAACCAAGATGAATATACCGGTCACCATTGTCCCTGTGCTGTCTGGGCTTCAGTGTCTCATCTAGCTGAGGGGGACGTTCTTTGGGTCTAATCTGCTGCAGTTTGCAGAGAAAGGATACCGTCAAGGTCTGGTGCCACCTGGGGCAAGCCAGCAGGCCCCCAGGCAGGTCCCCTGTGGCAGCATGACCTTAAATGAGCTCCTAGCAATCCCAGGGCTGGCCCTCAGGCTGACCTTCCCATACCCCCTGGCCTCGGATTTACCCCTCAGGGGTGTGCTCGTGTTAGCCAAGCTCCCAGAGGATGCCTCCTGTTTTACCCTGAGAAATAGAATCATCCGGCGGCCAGACTTTCAGGTGCGTACCCACGGAAGCCCTGTGGTTGGGTCAACATGGAATCAGAGCAAGAGCAGATGGGCGGCTGTTAAGAGTGGTGGGTCAGAAGGAGGACTTTCCTGGAAGAGGGAACAGCACACAAGAGAGCTGCAAATAATTTACCTGGTTGGGGCCATAGGCAGGAGGCAAGGCCAGGGCACCATGGCCTGATGTGGCAGCTAAAAGTCTGGACCTTGTTCAGGAAATGACGGGAAGTCACTAAGGGTCACTAAGCAGGATAGTGACATGACTAGAGTGCATTTTACGGCCACGCATGGAAGACAGGCCAGGGAAGGGATGGCCACAAGAAAACCCAGCAGAGAATCCTGGAAGCAGAGATGGGTCAGGAAGAGGAAGGCCCGAAACAGGTCCTTTAGATGTGACAAGGAGAGGGTTACTGTGAACGAGGCCAGGGATATTTAGGAGGCACGGATAGAGGAGGGAACAGACGATGAGGTAGGGTGACCGTGGACTAGTGGCATTTGGAATACTTAGGCTGCTGGAAGACCAGTGAAATTTCTAGAAACAAAATTAAGAACCAAAATAAGGTAGCTAATTTTTTTATTTTTCCAATAAGGATAATTTGTTAAAATGATCACGTTTTGAGGTCACTATTTAATACAAAAAAAGGGGGGGGGGCATTTTAACTCTCCCCAGGATAGGAAGGCCTAACCTCCAATAAAGGATGATCATTTAAATGGAATAAATTTAGCCTGATAACCAACTCTTCATATCGCATTTACTTACTGTTCTCATTTCATCATGGATTATACAATCTCACTTCTATTGATGACGCTAGTTCGCTGAGGGTGAATTGTTCTGTAAACTGTTTTGTTTTGTTTTCCCAAAGAGAAGAGGAAAGAGATTGGCTACAAATCGAGTCAAGAGTTTTTGGTTTCTGCAGGATGAAGACTGATTTGAGAAAATTAATGCACCCAGAGGAAAAAACAATTGAAAGAAAGATTTAAAGATAGGAACTAAATGCAACATAGTATCCCAGACTGGATCCTGGAACGGCAAAAGAACATTAGTGGAAAAAACGATGAAATACGAATAAAGTCTATGGCTATCCCATAACAGTATTATATCAATATTAATTGCTTAGTTTTGATAAATGTCCCGGTTACGTAAGATGTTAGCATATGCGAACCCTCTGTATTGCCTTTGCAACACTTACAGATCTAAAATTATTTATAAACAGAAAAGGCTTTTTAAAAACAGCAGCAACAACACAGAAGAGAAAGGAGACGAGCGACAGACTGAAGTTCCCCAGGTTGGACTTTGGAGCCAGGTGGCAGGTGGCCCGGGCCTCGCACAGGAGAGGAACACCTCCCTCCCCGAGATCAGAGGAAAGGGTTGGACGCAGTCACAAATAACTTGCTAATAAATTTGTCCGCAGGAATTGGAAAAGGAAGCTTTCTTCTTTTCACTAATAAGATAATGTAGTAAATAAATGATAGGACAAACAGGCAAATAAAAATCGTTTCTAAATGCAGGTGAAAAGTAAGTAAATGGTGTCCAGGTAAAATGTAGACCGAAGATAGAAATGAGTGGTTAATATTGCTTGGAAAGAAAAACACAGCAGCCTTGGACCAGGCTCCGTCTCCTAATAATTCTGCTCTGCAAGGATACTGAGAGCTGAAATCAGCAACCTAGAAAAGCCTTACTTTAGAGCAGCAGGTAAATTACGGAGGGTATTTCCAAGACCGCACTGAAATAATGGCAGGACCCTGAGAGGGAGAGTAATCGAGAGTGGAAGTGAGCGAAACCTAGAAGGAAGACAGGTGCTCAGCACAAGGAATAAATTCCAGAAGACACTGCAGTTGCTGCCATTTTCTGTCAAATTCTTCCATTTCATTTCAGGAACAAGCGCAGGCCCTAGCAAAAGCTTTCCATAGATCCCCACTAGTACATTTTATGTATTTTAAATTCTTCTGCACCGAAAGTATGAATAATCAGCTTCTTATCAGCAGCCGACCTTCACGTTAATACATTTTTTAATGGCAAAAAAATATACAGTGACTGCTCTAATACTTGCTTCTGGCTCTCCATTTTTAGGGGGAAAACCCAGTAAAAAAATATACGCTTTTATTCTCAAAGGGGATACATCAAATAATATCAAACATATTATTTTAAATTAATATATGAAAATCAAGAAATATTATGGCATGATTGTGACAAAAGCATTGACTCTCTAGATAATAAGATTATTATGATTTAGGGGCGCCTGCCTGGCTCAGTCAGTAGAGCATGCAGCTCTTGATCTCAGGGTCCTGAGTTCAAGCCCCACATTGGGTGTGGAGCCTACTTAATAAAATAAAATAAAATAAAATAAAATAAAATAGAAATGAAATGAAACGAAACAAAGTAAAATAAAATAAAAATAGATGAATACTTCTTAAAAAAAAAGATTATGATTTAAGTCATCTGGGAAACGTTGCATGCTCTTTTATAAATGGTCATTGTGCCCCAGTATATTGTAACTAAATACTAACCTAGGTTTCTTCCATTTCAAACAAACTCCAACTCTGATTACTTTAAGCCAAAAAAGGATTTAATGGAAGGACAGTATGTGTGTCTAAGAAGAGCTAAAGGGGCAGGAACCAAGGCACCTTCCAGGATCCAGGGAGAGGAACCAATAATGGTTGCATCAAGGCCCTGACATTGCACCAAGCGTGTCTTCTGATGTCGTGTCATTCTGCTGAGGATTCAGAGTAGTGAGAGAGTCCATTTGGTCAGCCTGGGGCATGGAGAACAGGCTGAAGAACCTGTTCATGAGAACATCATGAAGAACAATTCTCTAAAACCATCCAATTCTGCAAAGGACGGTTAGTGGAAGAAATGGAGGTAGATAAGGGGCAGCCACTACTTACCTTATTCTTTCATGTGGCCGTGCCTCTGCCTGAACTTGGAATGCCCCTTGACCTGAAATGCCCGTAGTCTTCCAGACCACCTGGTGAACTCTTATTTCCCTCCTGAAAACCCAGATAAAATAGCCCTTTCTGTGAAGCCTGGCAGAGGAAATGACTTTGCACTGTCTTTGTACCTCATACACGCATCCCTTGTTGGACTGTTCACACTAAATTGTAATAATTTGTATTTGTTTGGATCTCTCCTATTAGACTGTAAATTTCTGGAGGGCAGAAATAATGTTTTTTCACCTCTGCTGCCTCTGTGCTTAAAACAGTGCTCGTGATTAAGTATTCAACAAATGCTTGCTAAAATAAATGCAAACAATAAACCACTGCTATGTTTAAAAAGAGAAGAAGAAGAAAGAGAGGAAGGAAGGAAGGAAGGAAGGAAGGAAGGAATGAAGGAAGGAAAGGAGGGGAGGGGAGGGGAGGGGCAGGGCAGGGCAGGAAAGGAAAGGAAAGGAAAGGAAGAATAAAGCGAAAAGAAAGAAAAAATTAAAACTTTGAGGAAGCACAAGGAAAAACCTTTATAGACACAAAATAATTATCTGTTACCTTTGCAAATCTGCGTGATGTTTGAGAAAGCCTGGCAATATCTTCAAGATCCAGATAAGAAATGATACTCAGGAGCAAATTGTCTGAGAGCCGTTCAAGGAAGTCAAATTTACCTTCACATAAATTGAAGACATAGTCTAATACTCTTGCACCAAATATTAAGGCAATTTGAACTGCAATTCAAAGAAACCAACAAACCAACAAGGTTATCATGTGCAGTCAGGTAAAAACCACGACCTGTATCAGTAAGACGGGCTTTAGGGCATTCTTCCCCCCGGGGGGGGGGGGAATGTTGGATTAGACCAAGTCATTCCTACTGTCACCGAGCTGCCCCTGGGACTCGTGATATGCCTTTGTGAGACATTTGTTTCCAACTGCTGTCCCCACGGTGAGATCAGAACCTTTGAGGGACACTCACTGTTGAACGCAGTGATGAACTGCATCCCTTGATTTCATCAGCACCAACTTCAGACAACTGACTTAACTAGTCTCAGTGCCTCCCTTAGCCTCACCCCTGACTGGACAAAGATGCTGGTCCACGTGGGTTTTCTGCCACCCTCCCTCTCCCCTGATTGGCCTGAAACATGTTAATATCTCTTCATTTGAGTTGATTTTTCTTCTCTCATTGCTAAACGTGTTTCTCCACCAAACTTTCTTCTTACCTCTTTACCTTCTTTCATCCCCATCTTTACATAATAGGGGGAAAAAATAGAAAGAGGAAAATAAGTGGATATTTCATGAAAATTGTGTTAACTTTTGCCTAATATTTTGTATGCTTTTTCAGTCATTTCCAAGTTAGGGAAAAGTTCACAAATAATCAGCCCATATAATGGTCCTACCTAAGCATGTTCAGTGCAAGAAAGTACTAGCTTGGTTCTTTTTTTAACCCTGAAAAACCTTCAATGTTTGGAAGGATATATATTCAAATTTTAACGTGGTTAAATCTGGATGGTGACTTTCACTTCGCTTCCTTTTGTTTATTTGTGTTTTCTAATATTTCTACAATAAACCTGTATTACCAGTGTAATTTTTTTAAATCTAGGTTACCTAGGTAGGAAGGAAGGGAAAAAGGAAGGAAAGCACACTACCTCCTTATACAAGAGAGGAAAACATTGTGATGATGGAATAAGCATGTGGATTCCAGGGATCCCAAAGCAGGGACGTTTTTGGTTTCTTGAGGCTCATGTTTTCCATTCGGACTCTGAAAGCACCGCTATAACTAGCCTCTCTAGAGACCTGTTCTTCAAAGACAGAGAACTCTCTACTCTACATGAGACTAAATACCCAAGATTTGGGGGACCACCTTCCTTCCTCAGCCTGGAACATTCCTCCTGGAGCAAGCGGGATGGAGCTGTCAGGAACACTGGGCCCCCTGTAGGAGTTGGCAGAACTGATTCAACTGGTTGATGGGTCTCCGATTTCAGAATGGATGTAAGGTGTGGACCATATTTGTGCAAAAACTCTAACTGTGCAACTTGGAAGAGCCAGGCATATGTGATTTCTCTCCCGAACTGGTCAGTCAAGCACTCTAGGGCATTAAGGGTTTTAGTTGCTTCTGAATCCCAAGTGGTTCCAATTCAAGGCACTTCGAAAGTCCAAGGGCTTTCCTCAGGGAAAAACAGCCCCGTCAACTCTAAAGGATAGTTATCGTGGACAACTCCTAGCCCACCAGCAGAATAAGAAGAAAAAGTGGTGCTTACTTATTGGAGGGAGAAGAGAAGCCCTGAGTGCAATAAAACATCCCTTAATATAACTGGAGATGTTTGTCCATTTTACAATGCCAGGAAAACATGTTCAATGAAGACTCAGATTTACTTTAGGAATTCTCTACCAGTAAAGTCCTCAAAATGTAAAGACTAGAAAAGGATATATACCAGTATTTTAGGATACATAAAAGTATTTATACTATAAAATATATAATTAAAAAGGATATACAAAATGGTATACAAAAGTATTTGTGTTCAGTTGTATGTAACCAACATTTATTTCTTTTGAAATAACAACAACAACAAAAAAAGGTAAAACAAAATCCATTTTGAAAAGCAAAATCACTGTCTTCATGTTGGACTATGTGGCGACCAGCCTCCAAGGGGGTGTCACAGATTCTCTTCTCCTGGGCTCATTTTTTGTGTCTCCCTCCCACACTGAATTAGAGGTGACCTATGTGACCAATAGGATAGTGTATGAACGACATTCCAAGTCTTGGTCGTAAAAGACAGAGGGCATTCTGTCTTGCTGCTGCCTCTGGGATCACTCACACTGGGAGAAGCCAACTGCCATATGCTGATGATGCTCAGCAGTGTTCTGGAGAGGCCCACGGGGAAAGAAATTGAAACTTCCCAGCTACAACCACCACTTATTTGTCAGCCATCTATGGGGGTCCTCAAGGGATTCGGGCCTCAAGCCCCAGTCGAGCCTTCAGATGACCGAGGCTCCGCACGACACCATACAAGACCCTGAATCGCATGATGGAGCTAAGCTGCTCTCAAATTCCTGACCCACAGAAACTGTTTGAGTTAATAAACATTTATTATTGTTTTAACCAATTAAGCTTCAGGGGAATTTGTTACACAACAATAGACAATAAAAATTTGGGTGCCTCCAAGTGTTGCGGTGCCATAATGGAAACCCAAGATGTGGGAGTTGCTTTGAAATTGGAAATTGTACAGGAAATCTGAATGAGTTTGAGGAGGGTGTTAATTGCAAGGATGAAGAGCTTTCAATAAATAGTATAATTAATTAATTAATAGCTGTTAGTAGATGCTTGATGGACTCTGAGGAGGTTTTATAGGCAAGAGTTTAAAGGAAAATGAAGAAAATATTATTAAAAACTGGAGGACAGATCCTTGTCATGTAGTGGCAGAAAGTTCAGTTACATTATTGCCTACTGAGATATGCAAAGCAGGAAACAGACTTAAGGAGATGTGATTCAGCTATGCAGATTTCCAAGCAAGGTGTTGAACATGCTGTCTGATTTCTTCTTGCTGCTTAAAGTAAAATGTGAGAGCAAAGAGAGAAGCTAAAGAAGGTTTCTTACAAAGCTGCCAGGATTTGCTGGTCTAGAATATTCTGTGCCTCGTCAGATGGCAAACAATGCTAAAATTAAGGAATGCCTTGGGAATGCAAGCTGGTGCAGCCACTCTGGAAAACAGTATCAAGGTTCCTCAAAAAACTAAAAATAGAACTACCCTACGACCCAGCAATTGTACTACTAGGCATTTATCCAAGGGATACAGGTGTGCTGTTTCAAAGGGACACATGCACCCCCATGTTTATAGCAGCACTATCAACAATAGCCAAAGCCTGGAAAGAGCCCAAATGTCCATCAATGGATGAATGGATAGAGGAGGTGTGGTATAAATAAATGATGGAGTATTACTTGGCAATCAAAAAGAATGAAATCTTGCCATTTGCAACTACGTGGATGGAACTGGAGGGTATTATGCTAAGTGAAATTAGAGAAAGACAAAAATCATATGACTTCACTCACTCATATGAGAACTTTAAGACACAAAACAGATGAACATAAGGGAAGGGAAGCAAAAATAATATAAAAACAGGGAGGTGGACAAAACAGAAGAGACTCATAAATATGGAGAACAAACTGAGGGTTACTGGAGGGGTTGTGGGAGGGGAGATGGGCTAAATGGGTAAGGGGCACTAAGGAATCTACTCCTGAAAGCATTGTTGCACTATATGCTAACTAATTTGGATGTAAATTAAAACAAAATTTAAATTTAAATTTAAAAAAAAAGAAACAAACAAAAATAATAAAAATTTAAAAAAAAATTAAGGAATGCCTCTCAGGCAAAAGTCGAATTTGGAAAAATCTCAGGAAAATATGGTCTGAAGATGAAGCTGAGGGCGTGGCTGGAAAATGTTTTGTTAAGAACCATTCAGTCAAATTTTAGAGCTTTCAAAAAGCTGAAGGGTATTGCCACTCAGGAGGCAAGCACAGAAACCAAGTTAAAGAAGGGCTTATCTAAAAACAAAAACAGGGGCACCTGGGTGGCTTGGTCGGTTAAGCGTCTGACTTCGGCTCAGGTCATGATCTCACGGTCCGTGAGTTCGAGCCCTGCGTCGGGCTCTGTGCCGACAGCTCGGAGCCTGGAGCCTGCTTCGGATTCTGTGTCTCCCTCTCTCTCTGCCCCTCCCCTGTTCATGCTTTGTCTCTCTCTGTCTCAAAAATAAATAAACGTTAAAAAAAATTTTTTTAATAAATAAAAACAAAAACAAACAAAACAAAACAAAACAACAAAAACAAAGATGTGTAGGTGTGGTTTTGTTTAATGGAGTGAACCCCAGTAACAGCAATAGACAACAAATGAAATTTTAAGAGAATTCTACTGGTAGAAACACCGCCTGCCAGCTTGAACTGGAAGGGTCAGAGGCAGTGGAAAAGGAAAAAGACTTTGGACTCTCAAATTCCTACCGGCAGGAAGTAGGCTGAGAAAACAAAACCTGCAAAGATGGGTTATCTTTTGTGGACAAGGAAGATGGCTCAGACGATGGAACCAAGAGCCCAGGAGGTGAAGCCCAAGACTCATGAAGAATTGGCTACAACAGGGACTTAGAAATATTGTTACACTAACTAACATAAAATCAGACCTACTGGACAACCCCTCAGAAATATATAATTTATCACTTCTGACTCAAGAAGAAAAAGAAAACCTGAGAAACTATAACCAGTAAAAACTTTGAAACCACTGATGGGATTAAAGAGGAAAACCGTCAAGCAAAGCTTCAGATCTACACTGCTTGTGAGCCTTTAATAAACTCCCAGAGAACAGACAATCCATATAGAAGTAGAAGGAAACCCCCAACTCACATTATGAGGTTGCTTAAACTAGAAATGATGGTAGGCAAGAAGAAAATTTGCATCTGGAAAATCACTTAGGAGCATACACGGCAAAAATTCTAAATAAAATGTGAGGAAATTCAATCTATCAATATATAAAATAAATAGATAAATTGTGACCAGGATAGTTAATCCCAGGATAATCCAAGGATGCAATAACTTTGGAAGACTATTTAATATAATTCACCATATAAACAAATAGATTTATAGGAGGAAAAATGATCATCTCAAAAATACAGAAAAATTATTTCGTGAGTTCTAACCCCTATTTATGAATAAAAACTCTTAGGAAATTGGGGCACCTGGGTGGCTCTG